TCATCATCATCATCATCATCATCATCATCATCATCATCATCATCATCATCATCAATCATCATCATCATCATCATCATCATCATCATCAACTTGAGTAGTAATGTATGGCTACAATGTTTAATACCATCGCAATGCAAAAATGAGGTTTTATCAAAATACAATGGATTTTCGATTATTAGACAATTTGCCTATACTGGATCTTTCAGTTACACTAGTATAAGCTTACTTTAATTTGAACGGTTATCTTCTTCACGTCATTATCAGCATCCGGTCCTGTGATGTCATCGTCGTAGTACAATGCTTCTGGAGCACATTTATCCCATATGTGAGTCACAAATTTCTGTCTTTGCTTCTCTGAGAGTTCTTTTTCAATATCCAGGATAATTGCAGCCCTTTGCATCGCAGCAATGGATTTTGCATTGTCATAAAAGCTAAAGAATGGGGAATAATGAAACAAAATTAACAATACCTTAATGGTTCACAACAATAAACAGTATTCTACTCACAAAGAGCATTATTTTATAATTTAATTGAGTGAAATCATTGTCTCGTGACAAAACATCTTAGTCAATGGATGCACGAGAACATGGTATATTGATTGATTATAAACTGATGCGTCAAGCATATAGATTCACTCTGAGTATCATTGCTGTTGCATGAGTGTAGCATGGGTGCACTATGGGTGTGCCATGAGTTTACAGTTGATATCTTGTGTATGCAACATTACAGCATTGCAGGTGTACAATAAGAGCACCACAGGTATACCGATTTTTGAGTCAATTAATTGTTCTGATTACCTTTGGAAGGTATGGAATATTAATGCGACCAGCATGCTGAGACAGAATATAGCAGATATAGCTAAAAATGTACCACATAGAATATCAGCCATAATTGGGTCAACCGCCTTCATACCCTGTAAAACAATAAGCAAATTTGACAATGAGTAACTAGAATATTTTTTGCAAAGCCAAGTATTATTAAATGTATACCGTTTTTTATTAGCTTCCACAATTGATAATCACCATGGCGGTACAGTTCGAGTAGTTGTACATAAACTTAAAATGTGACCTCGAATAGAATATACTAGTTGTCTGTAACTGGAAGTAGAATCTGGATGTTACGTGAAAGATGAATGATACCACTTACCTCATAATCATAGTCATCAACTAATGTCATACGAAACAGGCTATAACCAACAGAATAAAAAGATTCCATGCCTAAAACTAAATCAGTCACTCCAAATATCATCCAGAAAGCACAGCCTACAAAACATAAAGATACAATATCGTATAAAATGACACTGAGAGTGACATAAATTCATGACAGGGAATTTCCGTGAATGCTGAAAACAGCTTCCGCTAGAGAAGCTTCCAAACTCTAAGCTTCTAAGTTATATAGCTTTCTAGTTTCATATTACAGCTAGAGGGCGCTATAACAACAAGATGGTGATAGTGGCTAATAAAGTATATAGCCTTTGACTAATGATACAACTGCTAGCAGGTGATACAAGCAAAGGTGACACAATCACTAGAAGGTAATGCAACTGATAGACGGCCTTATAATGGCTACAGGGCGATGTAATTGCTAGACGTGTTAACCCCAAAAGGATGATACCACTAGAAGTTGATATAACTGCTAACTGGTGCTATATATGTGCTATAATAATTACTTACAATATGGAATCCAGAACTCCAAGTACAGATATGCAAATATTGCAACGTCCACCATGACCTTTCCCAATATGACAATAAATGGCCCTGCAATATGAAAATTATATAAATTAATATCAACTCAGACACCAGACTGGTTCTGGGGCTGACTTTTTGAAGTTTCAGGTGTGAGATACAGATATGATTTACTGGGATGAGTGACATATGAGAGGGCGGTATTATTATATTGCTATTAGTATTGTAGTCGAGTGACTAGATAACAATATTTTCTAGCATACCCAGGGCAGTAAAAGCGCGACAGGACTTCATTAATCTCAGCCACAGGAATATGATGGTGACAGCGAAGAGTCTGTGCAATACTTTACTTGGAATATCATCTCCTGTTTCATCGCTGTCCTGTTCCAATGCGATATCAACAATATGGAGGATGGTGCAACAAAACAGCAGAAGATACACAAACCAGTCAAAGTAATTCCTGAAAAGTGGAGATTGAATATATAAGAAGAGTAACTGCAAACTGTGCTAATTTAGTTATTCATCACGGGAAAATATCGCTTGGCTTCTTCAGACGTCATTTGAGTCATGTGACTTTCCCAAAATATAGACTCCCCGAATTAGCAACAATTATTGGCAGCATTACGAAAACCAGTTTGTGAATGCCAATACTTAACAATAACCAAACTCCGACAACATCAGAATTCACAAGCAATTGCCAGGAAAACACAACAAAGTCAATTTAAGGAGAGATACGTGGTCCTTCTGGAGTATTGAGGATCTAGCTAATACCAAGGACTGACTTACCATGAATCACTAAAATATGATGGTCCCATATCCTGAATTTCTTCAACCTCTCTTTCCAAATACAATTTTTCCTGTGGCCATCTTGGGTGACAAAATTCAATGTCTCGCTCAAGCTCAGCAGTCCGCCATTCTTTCCATTTCTGGGTAGATTAAAAATGTTCCAAAATAATGGTAAGATCAAATTGTACAAAATGATGGCATTTTTAAATATATTTATTTAATTCAATATAACAAGCGAGAAAATACAGTTTGAATGAAAACTAAACTACATTATAAGCTTGGGAGATTTTAACTAAAACTAAATTTTGATGAGATTCCAGACTTACATTAAAATTGTTCTTGGACTTCAAGAACTCTTGTACTTCTTTTATGATCATGTACACTGTAAACACAAGTGCTATGACCTGCAGACAAGGGAAACACGTGTGGGTTAACGTGTGTGCACATGGATTCACATGAGAGTTGACTGATGACATTATTGCATTATGTAACAACTAAATTAGGATTATGTGTGGTAGGGAGTACATTGTTAAATGAATTATCTCGACTTTACTTCTAATGTGACTCTCCAAAGGTCTTCGGGGAAGTTATACTGGTCACTGTCCTGGGGTAGTGTTACTCCTATCACTGTCCACAGCATAATGAAAATAAAGTTCAAAATGGTCTGCGTCCATGCCCCACGACTGCAATAAATAAGTACGTAAGTTAATTAATTAAGAGTTAATTACAAGTGAAGAAGCTCGGGTAGAGAGATAAATCACTGGATATTATGGGGACTTTCTGGAGCTGGGAAAACGCACATGTCTGCACTTACTGGGCAAAATATTTAATGGCAACTAAATATACACACTGCTGCCATTGGATACTCTGCAAATTTCAAATTTCAGGGCAGCAGCAGTGCAATATTTCAGTTGCTTCGTGCTGGAATGGTCTTCCCATCATCGTTTCATTCTCGCTTTAAAAGACAAGTTAAAAGAACAGTGTGTCATTGAGAGAATGATGGGTTGATCAAATATGTCTAAGTTATGTATTGTTCATGTTCTCAGTGCATGACAATTGAACAACACATATATCCTCATCACATGCCATGATTCATTCTCTCATGTATGTTAGTGTCTGTCTGCCTGTCCGTCTGTCTGTCTGTCGGAGCTTAATAACTTTCACTTTCGATTGAGGCGTTAAATTACCTTCCAAATCGTTTCCATTTCGTTTTTATGAGCTTCTTCATAACTGGATGTATAATCAGATCGTGTTGTCTGTACTCAACAATAACTTGTAACTACAACAAAACAAAACACATTGAAAGGTTAGTCTATTTATAATAATTTGGTGGTTGATTTAAAGGGTACGGATGTTGTATGGAAATTTAATCCTGTTGAAGGTTCAGTGGTGATTTCGAAACAATAACACGGCATCATGAGAACAAATCCTAGCCAATATCCATAATATAACATCAGTCTAACATAAAAGCTTTAGAAAAAATATCATAGCCACATGCACTCACTGGTAGTTGACATGGGGGCCTCTTCTCTTCTGCAAAAAAAAATTGTAACATTATTGATGTGCTTGGAGAAACAAATACACCTTGGGAACAAAGAAATCAATGTCACTGTTTAGTGCATCAAAAACAGTTGTAATTCAATAACGCATACAACTAGCACCAGCAAATGGCATGTGAAAATACATTACGTTAATTAAATGAGGGAATATATGAATGAATTGGTTTGCTGTTAGACGATCCATGAATATGCAACAATATACATAACATATTTGCTTATTCTGATTCCTTCAGGTGTTACGTCATTCAATGCATGGTTATCAGATATATACAGCATGAATAGACCATTTTCCGTACACTGCGAGAATCACGCGTTATGCGTGAAATCGAACGTAAAAACAGGACAAACAAAGGTCATAGCGTCGTAGTGGCGTCAAACATCGCGTGGGATTCGACAAACGCGAAAGTATTTCGGGGACATTTCCATGCTTAATAATGTGCTGTCCACATTTGATGATAGGCAATTTCGATTAAGTAAGGGTATTCGGAAGCAATATTCCTCTGTCGAAGATCGGCCGGTCGGTGTGAGCTACGAAATAAGAAAATTCGAGTTCAAAATCAAATTGTTCGATTTTTGCGGCAGACGTTCGACGCGCGTCTTTCGTGCATCTCGCGAGATCTCGCAATTGTACGGAAAATCACATCCAAACTCTAATTCTGGTGGATTGGAGATTCTTTGACCATATTACTTCACCTACCTGGTTTGAAAGGTTCCAAATGATGCAGATCAAAGTACTGTATTCTATTAGCTCTATCAGTTCTATGATATTGATTCATGGCTGCTTTGGCCTACAATTAAAATATACTATTAATTCCGTTTCAACTATGCGAAGATGTTTTGTCTATGCAAGGTTCTGCTGATACAAGTAATGTTTCAGGAACATTACTTGAAGAATTGAAGAACCACTTCATTCAAGGGCCAGTATGTATACACTATACATATAATTCAGCCTAGATAGACACAAGATGATTTTGTCAAAGTTTTTTTTTTATTTTTTTTTTTTTTATAAAAATCAATTTGCGAAAATGTTTTAACCCAATTCTAACTTAAACAACACGATGTACTAATATCAGGTGAGATACGTTTACATTCATCTAAATGTTCATATGAACAAATATGTTGATATCAATTCCATATAAACATGACTTTCTGTTGAGAATTGGAAGCAAAATACAATAAGACACAATAAACACAACACAATGAAACAAAGTTACATTTACCAGTTGCCGTTAACGCGTTTTCTCCCCAAGGGTTAAAAACAACAACATTTGTTTCGTTTACTATTTTAATTAACTTGTTTTAATTTGTTGTATTCACAATTAATATGTAATTATATGTAGTTATATGAAACATTATATAAATGCAATTGGATGCGGATGGCTTCAGTGAAATTAACTTTGTTGACAATGTTGCATTAAGTGAAATATGATATTTCAACATAATATTTGAAATACACATACCACAGGTGGCATCTTGGTAATCATTAACACCAATGCTAACATGTGACTGTCATCTTCATCTGATGCATCAGCACCAAATTCTAATAGAAGTCGAGCTGTTTCACTGCGATCTTGAGGAAAAATCCAAATTCAGAAAGTACAGAAGAAAAACACAGCATAGTACATGTTAGGCATTGCAAAACAGTAAACTAAATCTGAATATACATCATACTTTCGCATGCAGTTTATATTTCCATATGCATCATCTAAGCTGGGATCAAAGCAAAATGGTTTATAAGTTAGTTTGGTTGGAAATACTGAAGAGGAGTTGCCTCCATGTTGTGCAGGTTCACTACAAAGTAATTAAGACACTGTTACTTTAAACACGGTACATCTGGCGGCGAGAACAATAAATAAATCAAGAAAAAAGTGAAAATTTCCCTTCTCGCTACCTTAAGGCACATTGAGTCAAATTCAAATTTTGGATTACTGAACATGTTACGTCACATATACGCAATACCTTGTATATAATATTTTAATTTTAATATTAATATTAATAATAAATGTTATCACACTGGAAATTAAATTATATGTCAATTTTTCTAATGTTTTCGCAATGTTAGATTTATGTTCATTAATATATATGACTTTTTCATTCCATATCACCAAGAAGAAATAGGAGAGAAAAAAATTCTTTCACCATAGTTTTGATCATGTTTTTGATATTTTAGGCTTTTATATCTAGAAAAATTATCCCGTGACCCCAATTTTCTTTTCGGTAATCCGATGACGTGAATGCATAACAGTGAAGGTTTGATGAATATGACATATCATCTTTTGGCTCCAACCTCTTTAAACGACAGTTACAACGAAATAGTGCACAACTCTTCACTAAATTCTGCAGCGACCTCCCCAAATAGTGAAATCTCAACCACTGTTACCTTAAGGTAGAGATGCAGGTTCATGGGCACTTGGGAGTGATTTTTTTTCTGCTTTTTATTATCCAAACAGTCTTGGCTATAGACTGTTAAAATTTGGTAGAATTGTGAATGGTGGAACATATTCAAAAAACGATTTTAAAATATAGATAACAGGTGCAAACATTCTCTCTTTTGAATGCTTAGAAAGATTTAGCAAGGCTGTACATAAATAATAAAAAAGAAACATGGTGAAAACAAAGAAATGACGGGATCTCCATATTATGCACTATATTTAACTTTTAACAAAACGATAATACATTTAAATTTGGAACTGTTACAACCATTTTAATTATGAGCATTAGCAAACTTCTTACAGAGTGAATTGTTATGCAAATTAGCAATTATCTCATCTTCTTTTTAGTGCACATCCCAGAACATTAAAAAAATTGCTCCTATACGCTTTAACCTTTTGTTTTGAAATTTTCACAAATGATTGACAATGTCGGGGCATTGTTTTTGGTTAAACAGTATTACAATAATCGTACAGACAATTAGCCTGAGTGTTAATTTATGCATAAACTTGAAGTAGTGTAATTTGAAAGAGCACGTTTTTGTGCACATTTCAAACTACAGTGTCCATAACAAAAAAACACTAACAAAATTTTAAAATTCATACAATAAACTTTCCGAAAATATATAGTTTTGTGAACAAGAGAGGTCATCTTGATTTCCTAATTAACTAATTATAATACCTGTCAGGTAAAGTGCATCTCTAGCACACATATAGATGTAAACAAACCAATATTTAAATTTGAAAGTTGCTCACTGGTGCCACTCTTGCAAGGATCAGTGACTTCAATGTCCAATGCAACCAGGGTAATCAAATCAACTAACCTCCTTCAGCGGCCACTTGTAAAGGCGTTCTCTTCTTGTAGTCCCTGGCATGGATGTGAGCACCTCTTCTGATTAAAGTTGTTAATGAATTACCCGCATCATTTTTGGCTGCATAGTGTAAGGGGGTTTGCTGTTCTCCGTCCGTTTTGATCTCAATATCAGCTGTACAGCACAAACATATGATACATCAGCGAATGGACAAATACAGCTTTTTAAGATGCTATGAAAAGCAGTGCATCTATCTCGCAGCCTCGCTGTGACAATTTGTTTTTTCATGATTTTACAGACATGCACTATCCTAAAAGTACATTATTAATTATTAATATATGTATTTATTATACATCATCCTCTTCCATACTTCGACCCACAAACTTACTTTGTTCAGACAAAATGGTTGAAAATGTATAATATACCCCATTAAAGATTGTGTCAACAGAATTACAGTTATTTTTTTACAACATAACAGCTTGTTTGTTCCCATTTCTCAACTTTAGAAACTATTCGGAACTGTGCTCAAATGTATAAGCGTTATGTGTTTACTTACCCCCATTGTCTAACAGAAAGTCTACCATTTCTGAGTAGTCAACAGCGGCTGCCACGTGGAGCGCTGTTCTACCAAATTCATCGCCTTGGTTGATGTCACAACCTTTATCCAACATAAACTTAGCAACGTCCGTCTCCCAAACTCTAGCAACCTGCCATAAACATTATGATGAATTATTAGAACTTTTAAAAAAAAAAACAAAAAAAACACGCAACTAATTAAAGATTTACTAAATTCATTGAAATGCATTACACACATAGGATACAAGAATACTGACAGACACTCTCACCTCATGTAAAATACTCTGTCCGTATTTATCTGTACACAGAATGTCGGCGTTATTATCTAGCATTTTCTCAACAAACCCCAAATCAACAGTGTCATCTTCTTTGTTCGATGAGGCCAAGGCAGCAAAATACGAGATGAGCGCTCTATTCGCATTGCTACATGGCGTTTGGTCTTCAGCTGTATATTCATCCAACTGTCCTCCTTTGGCTCCTTCACCATTATAATATATGAATAAAAAAATACATTAAGATGGTGAAGTAAATTCCCTTAATGATTAAAGCCGGTGATCGTCCCACCAAGTCATTTTCGATATGAGACCCATAGCGACGCATACAGCCATGTAATATATGTTTGTTTACATGAAGCCATCACTTTTCAAACATTCCAGATTCGGATTCGGATTACTATTACTATGGCCCAACAAATATGTATGCCCCTGTCATGGTGCGTCAGTTTTAAAAGAATGCCCGTCATAATTTTAAAAACAAAATCCGGGAAAAAAATTTCAAAAGTTGTTATGATAATTATTTTATGTTATTTAAAAAATATGCAAGCATCGATTTTAGATAAGTAATTGTTTAGAAACCTATTTTTCGATGCAGGGTCAGCTACATGTATATTCATGCCAAGATCGTGTATGGACTTGTTTAACTCAGACTGAGGTCATGTCATTCTACACTACGAACACACAGTTAGTATGACTACGAAATGGGCGAAAACATACATACGCAATTGAATGTAATTCATCAGCCTTGATATTAATATTAAATCTAACATTAGTCATAGTTAAGTCAATTATGTTGCTTAGAATATTAAGACAATATATTCGAACCCGACTGAAAATTGAAAATGTACCCAATTGATTATATTACGTATAAACGAAGTATTTTAAGATTGACAGAAACAAGCTCTAAATTGTAACCTTTGACTTTTAGTATATGGTGTGTGCCAAACCTATCAAGGCCAGCCAGCAGAAATCAGTACACTAGTTATCTATAGGCGTGAGATCATTGATAGATTGTTGTCATGGAGATATGTCTGTCATGACGATGTCATTTTATTTAGACATGCTGAAATCGCAGTCGCCAGAATCGTGTTCGGTAATAAACTGGAGGTTACAGATTTTTACAAATTTTCTTTGTGATTTTATTTTTTATTTATTTTTTAATCTGTTGATAGTACCTGACATAGTTTACATAGTTGTTATTTGATTATTTATTGTGTGACCTTAGAATATATGAAAGGTGCCAGGTACCATCCCCTGGATACAAATTATACATACAGACACATGGTATTAGCAACACACATTATAGATTGATCGAACTAAAATGGTATACTAGTAACTGTTAGATTTGATTTGGATGTTTTTTTTTAATTCTCCCTTTTTTTTCATACAGCAAATAAGTAATATTTTAAGGAAACATGAACTAAAAATAAACGTATAAAATTACTAAAACTGCCTACAACCACTCGACGTCCTACATGAATGGAATTATGGACGATGTAAGTACCACCATAAAGTTGAATAAAAACAATTACACGGAAAATAGAAGTGTTTAGGTGCGTTGCTACGACATGCCCCATAGAGCCGCAGTAACGGCAATTAATAAATCGGTTTTGTAGCCTACACATGACGTTATATGTAATGGATGCCCTTCCAAAGTAAATTTAAATAATGAAAGTTCGAATTGCTATACTCTCTAATTTCAGTCAGCTCGATCGATATAATAATACATTATGTTTATGAAATAGTATTCAGTGTACTGTTTCCTCAGTGATGGCAGATTTGTACTGGGCTTCAAATATTGTGAAATATTTTCAAGTCGATACACAGCCAGTTAATAAAACTCTTAACTCCCGTAAACATATTCATCCAAACAAACATATATCTTGACAGCATGGCACCATTTCTTATTATTTTATCTGTTCTATCATTTGTTTTTGTCAATGTAATTTTCAGTGAGAATCATATTTTTATTTTCGAAGACGCAAAGGAAATTATATACAAATATACATATAAATTCTCTCAGTCAACTAACAATGGGGAACACTGAACACAAGTAACTTTGAAACCATACAGAAGACACGGCGTAGGATTTTTTTTTACTTGAGAAATGTTATATGTAAAAACATTTTCAGTAAATTTTTAAATCATCACCAAAAATCCAATTTACGAAAATAATGTATATACGACTGTAATTATGTGCACATATATAACTAAGCAACAGAAACTAAACATTCCGAGGATTCCATTTGATCCTATCTGCTGTACTGACAAAGGGCCAATTACAGAGGCACACTACACCCAGGGACATGTTACTACATGCATTTTAATTCTAGTACGTCATATGTAAATGTTTAAGTACTATCCTAATATATTGTTTTCTTACTTATGTGATATTTTTCCATTAATCTTAGGTATAACAAATTGTTCCACAAAGCAAAACATCCACGCGTTCCTAGCAGAATAGACTGGCAAAGTCGGGACTTCTTTTTTGTTTTACAATGATAGTAAATATAATTAATTGTCTATTTTGCCTTTTTAGCGTGATCGCGAAAACTAGCGTGACCACGATTTTTTTTCAGTCTACTAGCAGAAGTGCTCCAAACGTTATTTATGTTTATGTTGTCTACGTGCTTCAATCCCGCCTTCATCTTCATTTGTAATAAAACAAACATGTGAAAACTGAGATTTGTTCAAGCAATATACATGTACCTTTTCAAAAAAAAAGTGGCTGTAAAAAAACATTAATTAAAAATAAAACAAATTTTATTTTATTTTACACTTACTGCTGAAATCGGGACAGAAGTCTTTCCTTCTGGATGTCCTAAAACTCTTGAATTTATCACCGGCTTTTATGTCGTTATTATACAACAGAAATGCATCTCCAATAGATTTAGAACCCTTCTGGGCGGCTTTGAATTTATTCGACTCTTTTAACCAGGGTTCATTGTTGGAATTCGGTTTTTCCTCGAGCTCCAACGTGTCAATGTCATTATCTATACCTTCCACGGTTTCTCCCAGCGGTCGGGGAATTACTTTCTGTCGATGTGATTTCTTTCTGCTGTTCCTCTTTTTCTTCTTGTTTTCGTCGTCAGAACTCATCTTGGGAGATCACCTAGTGAATTATATAATTAGGAATTGTTTTATATATAAATAATGATACTAGTTTTCGTGAACAATATAATTTCTTTACAGTTTTCATATTTAGTTTTTTCTTGTAGGATTTTTGAAATTCTATGCCGTCCCGAGCGTTGCTGATGACACCTAACACCTAAATAGGTAAAAAATACATTTAATTAACATTTATAAAAAAAGAGCTACTGGATTGCTATATAACTGTGCGTCTAAATGAAAAGCCCGTGACGAAAATACTGCAAAAGTTGGTTCAATATGGTTGAGGAACCCCTTGAAGTGGGCAGAGAGAGATGAGAATACATCTCCCATATATTATTAATAGCAGAGACCGGTAAAAAAATTAAAGTGTTTTTTAAGAAGGTCAGTAACCATTTTTACTTATTTGGGTTTTAATTCGTTGGCACTGTTCACGTACAAGCATTTCTAATCAGATGTACGACCAATAGCAGGCCATAGTGCCGTTTGTATTCGTTTAGTGTAGACATTTCTAAAATATTCATACTAGTGCGTGAGTCCCAGTGAGTTACAGTTTAGTTATACAAATGTGTAGAATAAAAGCGATGAATGAAAGTTCAATGATGACATTTTTTTAGCATCCATACAATCTCAAACCATTGATGGTACAAGTTGTTCAAAGTAGTAAAAAAAAACATTGTGTTATAAATAAACTGACACAGCTGATTATATATTAGTATTATATGGACAGTTGTTTTGCCAGTAAATATCTATATGTGTAGATATTTTTTTCTTTTAATCCTACAATGCAACCAATGATAATAATGTTTTTTGTCGTTTTGCATTATTGTACTTTCTAATAGTTGACATGGCGTTTAATTCATGCACACAGAATTATAAATTAGTTAAATTTTATTCAATTGAAAGATTTAAAAAAAATCAAATGATCATGAAATGTGATGCCATGTCATACTCAATTTCAATATACATGTTTATTTTATAAATATTGTATACACAAATAGACAAAAATTAAATACCATGCTATACTTTTAAAGTTAACCCCACATTAATAATTCCACACTATTTTTGACCATGTTCATAGCGTTTTTAACGTAATAACTTGTGTCACGTAATAGAATGTGTGCTCTAAACGCCTCCAAACTGAGAGCTATACGTTGCCCACAATCACGAGCTGTCCTTTTCTTTATTTAAAACATGGTGGTCATCGCCGCTCCGTATTCGACATGTATCCAGTAGCGACGTATATAATGCGTGGAAATACATTAAATAATTAAATTTAATAAGTTAGTCATTTTAATTATACGAATATATTAAATTATTATTATTATTATTATTATTATTATTATTATTATTATTATTATTATTATTATTATTATTATTATTATACACCAAAGACGATGGTGCCTAAATAATATATGAATTGGATATCTCAGTATTAAATTTTATTTGGTAATAAATTCTGGTGTAGAGTCTACTATAGTATGAATTTGTGGTGGTCGTCACATAGCGTGTAAACAAACAATATACTAGACTAGTATTTTACGCGCGTTGTATACGTCGCTATGAGACCTATATCGAACACGACGGGACGACCACGGCTCATAACCGGAATATATCACCTTCGATTATGGAATTAACATATACTGTGTTTGTCACAGGACAGTATGACGGTGTCTGTGTTGGAGCTGACATGTTTTTTTTTTTAAAAATTATTTTCCGAGGTTATACAACACAATGTATACGTTGCTATGCTTACACACACACACAAATACACACATACAACCGGGGCTTGTTGTAGAGTAACATGGATTCGTACACAACGAACATGACATGCCCGATAGCCGATGGTACCGCATATCTCCCAGCCCAGTCAGCGATTACAGTAACAACATTGACGGCGTGGGCGTATACGTACTACAACAGAACAGCTGTAAATACAACATCAACGATTCATAAATGCCTACCTGATTAGACAAAATACTATAAGTATTTGACATTCACAGTAAGAACGCCACTTCTGGGGTGGATTCAACAGAAATTCACCAAATACGCACGAGCAAGAGTCTCGGTATCTCAAATCTGTACTTCTATCCTGAAAGTC